TTTTTTTTGTTTTTCTTCTTCGTCTCTTTATTTACAACTATGCTTAGATAAATATACAAAAATGAATAGTTTGTATATAATAATAGAAAAAGCAAAAGAAAAGAGAAAAATGCAAAAAAATGTCTTAGAAAGATAATTACAAATATAATTTAGACTTACTTTCATTAGTTGAAAAGATTTATTATTCACCGGCTTAAATGTTTGTGGACGTAGAATTGTTTTTGTTGATGATGTATTATTAAGAATATTTAAATCTGAATAAGAACCATTTGTTAATGTATTTGAATTAATACAATTAATTAATGAATTAACATCATCATCATCATTATTATCATTAATATCATATTTTTTTCGAACAAAATCATCAATTTGTTCAATAGTACTTGTTATTAAATGATTACATGTTGTTTGACGAGTATTTACATGTTCAATACTTTCAACAGGTGATGTTACTGTTGTTGTACTTGAAGCACTATCATCAATGAATCGAAAACGTTCAATTTTTTGCATGAAATCTTTTTGATATGATGTTGTTTCTATAGATGTTCTATTTAAAGATTTTTTATGTTGTTGATTATTTAAAGAATTTGATTTATTTGATAATAATGATGTTTGATCACTAGTGTCGGATTCAATTGGATGTGTAGATGATGAAATTGATCGTGTCGTATTTGTTGAATCAATAGTTGAACAAAATGTAGTTGGTTGTTTAGCAAATGAACTTCGACGTAGTGCCGATGAAAGCGAGGCTCGATGACGAGGTTTTACATCGACACCGTTGCCGTTACTACTATTACCGCCGTCGGCATTCGTAGACGTCAATGAAGAACAAAGCGGATGTGAGTTTGAAGGACGTACGAGTGGTAAGAGAGCATTGAAAGAATATTTACGAGTCGTATGGTTCGATGAATCCTTAATAGTTGATGCAAGTTCCGATGTTAACAATGGCGTTCGATCATCACACTACAAAAAGAAAAAAGAAAAGATAATGATCGCTTATCTATACTTAAATTAACTGAACTTGCACTTATTTTTTTTTCTCTATATGTATATATATATATATACCTACCACATCATCTTCATGTAATCTCGTTAGTTCATTTGTAGATGATGATGATGATGATGATGATGGTAGTGATAATTCTGATTCTACTACTTCTGATAATTTCGGTTTGGTTTCTATATTCACAAATGATATTTCATTATTTTTCTCCTCTGTTTTTTCATTCTGAAATGAAATCTCGAAATGTTGGTGTTGCTCGTGGGAATGATTAATATTGTTTTCATATAAATAGTCATTATTGTGTACTACCGGTATTGTCGATTTAGTATCATATGTCCTTGAAACAACTTCAAATTGTTGTAATGATTCAACATCGT